AACTTCGATTCTTCTTTAATCGTTTTATCTTTCTCAGGATCATAATTAGTCATGTATTATTTATCTCAATATATAGATTAGATCATTAATTTATCAATTGATGTTATCATCAAAATTCGAGATTCAAAAATTATATAGAAGGCAGTTTAGAGCTAATCAAACATCAGAACCAATGGGTGGCTCGAGTTACACACGTCAGAACAGGAGTGGGCAAGCCTGACGTGGCACTATTTCTGGTGCGTCCAAAGTCATCCTTTTTCTGTGGTGCTCTTATCCTCTCTCTCTCTCTCTCTGTGATGAATGAGAGGAGGAGAAGAAGGGATGGCAGCAAGATCGGGTCGGTGTGGATGATACGCTCGATTCGACTCCGTTTTGGGCATTTGGTTTTGAGGGCAACTCCCTCTGTGACAGGAAGCGAAAGGACGGGCGCTGTACTTTTCTTGTCGCCGGGGAGATCGCATCATGTTGAATGCGAGAGAGCAACGTCACATGGTGCTGACACGACAATGACACGGTGCCAACTAATTTTTTGGTGATCCTCGTCGACCGACCTGAGGAAGCCATCGGCGATAGTTTCTTGTTATATCGATAGACACAAAGCGTATCGTCAAATTTGACATGGACAGGAAGAAAAATATGAGCCGATGCATGATAACTATTTATTGGCATTACAAAATCGAGTGAATCGATTCTGGGTTTGACAATTAAGTACTTGGTTCTAATAAAATGGATTAGTTTTGAATTTTCTCTTTTCTTGACTTAACAATTAAGTATTTTACGACTCATTTTTTATTGGAAAGTCACGACTACATGTAGAACTCTTGTTCTCTAGGACTACTTCACTTTGGATCTTACTAAATTATATATCGAAAGGACTGAATCGGAATATGATCTTCTATTGCCATCTCAGTAATTACCAAAATTTATATTTTCTTTTTTACTCTTTGATTTCTCCTTCATTAAAACTTGGTATGGTATGACTTTTCAGTAGCCCTTTATGATTTTGCATGCAATAGAGTATGTCAATTATTGCTTTGACATTATTACACACTGCATTTGTTTCGATGAAACCTTCCTTTCCATCTCATTAAATTCCTTGGATGTGATTTCAACAGCACACGACTTTGCCATAGAACATAATTCAACGAAGTAAAATACACAAACAAAAAACTAATTCGCATGCCTAACAAAATTAGTTTGCTCCTTCATAGGGAAATGTTCCCTACCCCAATTTCATGCTATGTCTCTATTAATGTTATTGTATTCAAATTACTATTATTCTCTATCCTTTTTTACTTTCTTTTTGTCTATTCATCCCGTTTTATATCCTTATTTCAAAGGAATAAAACAATCGATTACAACTTATGTGCTAATAATCGATTACCCATCGCATCCACCATATATCAACTGAATACTACAAATTTCCGGTCCTCTTTATTTTCCTTTTATATTTTTATAAATTATATGTGCTAACACATGGATTAACTTGCAAATAAATATTTTTATATATTGTTTATTGTTATTGTCGTTCGTTTTATGATCTTCTTCGCGTTATATATATTTTTATTTTTATAAATTACATATGCAAATCTTATTATTATTAAGACCAAGTTTGATGATGGTGATACAACAGGGTCAGAGTCAAAATGGCTATTTTGTGGACCCCACACTTAGCGATCGGCTCCCTGAGAAATCAAAGTCAGACTCAGAGTCATGGCTGTTTTGTAGCCCCCGCTGATAAAGAAAAAAAAAAAAGTCAGCGGTTGGCTTCGATTTCTCATGAGACATCATAGTCAAAGAGTCAAAATGGCTATTTTGTGGACCCCGCAGATTAAAAAAAGGTCAGCGATCGGCTTCGATTTCTCACTAGACATCAGAGTAAAAGAGTCAAAATGACTATTTTGTGGACCCCACAGATACAATAAAAAGTCAGAGGTCGGCGCCCACATCTCACGGGACACGGAGGGGAAGTCACAAAGGTGATGGGCCCCATCGACCGGATCCATGTACGACTTTGGAGTAGAAGCTTCATGGCGGCCATCCTATTTCTCCAAACCATCCTTAGAAGTCTGAAAGCAACGCAAAAAAAGAAGGAAAAAGAAAGAGAAGAAGAACAAATGTCAATCTCGGTCAACATCCAATTGCATTCAAAATGTCAACGGAAGCGAGCCCAAAGCCGGGCTTCCTTCACATTAGTTCTTAGAGCTACACTTGATCGAGGAATAAAACCGAAGACAGAAAAACATGTTAATTTGGCTCGGACAACAACTCGACTACGACTAGTTTAATTAATTAGAATCACAAGAGGCAAAGGATAAGCACCTGTGGATCCTTTTTCCATTCAGATTGAGATGGAAGAAGAGAGGAAAATCCATGCTTTTATGGCCAGAGAAGTCTCGTGGCTGTGGTTCTTCCTTCATATCACTTGCATCTTGTCAACCTTTTTGTCTCTGCACTGCAAAAGCCACCAAGAATCTTCCTCGTGTCCATCAATTCTCTTACTTCATACCTGAAATGGCACACTGATGCTTATCAAGGACACGGCATAAGCTGCAAAATTTGATGCTTTTGACTGATGAACTACTGATCTTGCAAGCTTGTTGGTCTATGGAAGAAGAATGTGTTTCAGCATTGCTCGAATGATGAGCTGCAGATGACCCATTCCTTTTCATAACAATGGAGATGGGTATCACCTGTTGAGGTTAACAATCTTAGCATCCTAGAGTGTGGTAGTACTCGATGAGAATGTTCTTTCGAGCAGTGCTTCCTTTGGACAAATCATTCGTGGTATTCTAATGGAGTGCTATGTATAAAGATCAAATCTTTATACATAGCACTTTAACAGTGATTCATGAGGTCCTATATTCGACCATTTAATCCTACAATTTCCTCAACAAGAAATGACTCGAGACAGATCACAGCATTGTCATGAAGATGAGGGATGATAACTGGTTGAACAGAGACTCTACTCAGCTTAGCAGATGAACCATGAAGTCTAAGATGATAAATGAGGAGTTGGGTAGCAGATGGAGAGTTAATAGAAGGATGCTGCAAATATTCTATGGAACAATATAGCCAAACAAATGTGTTGTTTCTTTCCTCGTAAATGCAGCACAATCTACAACCTATTTAGTGATTTTGGTTTGTGATGTTAGCAGACTACCAAGTCAAAAGTCACAAGAAGTAGCAATGTGTTCATAAAGCCATACCATGCTTGACCATTTCTTTGAAAACCTTACCACACACTTGTTGCCAGTTGGCAATATTCTTGACCAAACCTATTAAATGACCAAATGTACTGCCAAGGACTAGTCTTCTATCAATAATATTTTCTTGATGAAACCTAATACCCATGACTACCATTGACATTCTTATTTCTGGAAGAAATGCTTAAACAGTTTGGTGTACTCACTTATTCTTGAAGAAAGAAAGAAAGCAGAGTAAATTATGTTGAGAGTATCAAAGCAGAGGCAGCAAAGTTCAAAAGAATGTACACCCTAACAAAGTCAGTAACTGATAATTTCCTAACAATGTAACTTGTTGTCATCAAGAAATTATTTTGCTGTGTAAATGATTAAGAACAGGTCTTCTATGCCAAGCAAAGAGAAATAAATCATTGAGAATTATATGGAGTGCAAGTGTTATTTGGAAAGTAATATATATATTATATATGGAGATGCTATATCAGAGAAGATAAGATTGGGGTCTTATCTAATTATGGTGGCACCCCCATACATGTGTCCTCTTTCTGTTCAGTAGTACTTATGGCTTCAGACTCTCAAACCAGGTCCCTGTCAAAGACCCACAACTCAATACCCTTCAAAAGGTGCCAAGTGTCTGTCATGTACTTGTAATTTAGTTTGCTACTTCAACAACTATAAGAACTGACTTGATGTGGGAATGGCTTGACCTCTCTCCTCTCTATCTGTAGAGATAATAAGATGTACTCTAATCATCTTTGTCCACAGATCCTGGACTCTTTGCAAAACTAGCACAATGACATCTCCCATCCCACCACTACTTCTGTTGCTTCTTTAAAGTGACTCACAAGCAAATGTACACCAACACTGCATATAACCAAAGCTTTGTCTTTGCACACCTTATATTTTGCAAAACCCCAATAATGCAGCTCTCTTCATTCTCAAACACATGCTTTCTCTCTGTATTTCTCTATATGGGTAACATTTACAAGCTTAAGAGCCAGCTAAATCTAATATTAGATTCATAATTTAGAGAAATCAAGAGTGGTCTCTTGATAGAATAATGCTTCAGAGATGCTTCTTCCCTTCTCTCATCCATCAAAGTTCATTCTAATGGGATCACCCAGTGGAGCCTAAGCTACACAATTTAAAGCATGACAACATGAACAGCTGGGCTTATAAATGCCAAAAGTTGGCTTTTGGCCTCCAATGCTCCTCCTGTAGGACACAAAGGGTAAAGCTTTGAGTGGGTCTTGTTCTCACATAAGATTGTCCCACTGTGGGACCCAGGTGAGCCTCCAATCCAATCATCCTCTGTTCCCAAAGGGAAGCAGACCTTCTTCTCCATTATCTCCCCAGAAGCAGCAGAGAATTAGGAGCAACAATTGAGAGCTCTCTGCCTATAAATACCCACCTCCTGTTCTTCCCACACCAGCATCCACAGCAACATAAATCTCCTCTCTTCTTTTGTTCCCTTCTCCTCTCTTTCCCTCTCTCTCTCTTCCTCATCTGCTACAGAATCCCACAGTAGTCTAATCCCCCTGTTTCATCACCATTCCAACTCCACAAGTCCACAGTGCTCCAATTCCCCTGTTTCTTCCGTATTGCAACTCCACTTGCATTCTCTTAGGTCTAATTTCATATCATTTCCCACAATTCTTGGAAGAAGAAGAAGAAAAGCCACTTACTTGGAGACTGGGGAGACGAAGAAACCCTGGAATCATGGACGGAACGCTGGAAAACATACAGCTGACGTCATTTCCCGGCGAGATCAGCG